ATTATTCACAAATATTGAGTTCTGGAAACTAATATTTTAAAGAATGGTAAAAATGCAGGTGAAATATAAGACTTACTGAACACCATCAGGTAGACCAATACATTCAGAGAAGAAGTCTTTTAAAACAATATAGGGAGAAAATTGTATAAACATTATTTGGGAGGAAAAGTGGGAATGCTGAGAACCTTCCACATGTCAGTGATGAAACAAAAAATACTAGCAACCAGGAATAATTGATCTGGGAAATATTGTACTTCAAAAATTATAAAAAATTAAAGACTTTCAAAGATTAAAATAAAAAAGTTAAGGTTGTTAACTACTAGAATAAACCAAGGAAAAAAAAGGAGTAAGTTCACGCTTTCTCCCATGTGGCTAGTCAACACAGTTGCTTGGGCTTTCTCCCTGGAGGTGTCCTCCAAAAGGCTGGTGCAGGAGATTTACCCAGTGCTCATGGTCCATAAAGACATGTGTCACTGCACCTGCTTCTCACTGCACCTGGACAGCAATATGCTGGCCCACTTCTCGGAGATGTGCAACATTGAGGAGCTGCAGGAGGGCTCAGGGCTGGGCATGAGTGAAGGCTGGTTTGGAAGTTGGGTGGACTGCCTTGGGGACGGCCCCCAGAAGCAGGGCAAGGCAGCACTTTCCCACTCCTCTGAGGGGTCTGTGTCACATATGAGGGCATGAGGGTGGGATTGGAGAGCAGGTTTTCTTCTTGGCTGTCACATCAGCACCTTCTAACTTCATAGCCCATGAGTTAAAGAACAGAGTTCTGATTAAAAAAAAAACAAAAATCAGGCAATACTAAGCCAGGCTTGATATCAGCCCAATCAAATTCTATAAAGAAAAATGATGTATTGAACAAAAAGAAAGAAAAAAGGAAGAAAAGCTTCACAGCCTTTGAGTAGGGAAGTCTGCCTGGTGCAGCACTGCCAACTGCTTAGTTTCCCTGAGCCAATTGGAAAAAAAAAATGTCCTTCACCTCGAAGTTTTAAGTGACACCCAGGGTAGCCACCAATGTCTTGGCACTGAATCCTCATGGATGCTTCCACTACCAGTTTGATTTGCAGCCTCATGGTTGTGTTGTACTAAATATTCTTTCTTCTGGATTTGTTTAGTGAACGTGGTTCACATGGCTAACACCACTTGTTGAGATACAGGCACCACGTAAAGCTGAGAATGGATTTGGGTTAGTTACCATTGTGCCTTCTCCTCACTTGAGAGGCCCATTTTTCCTGGTTAATTCATTAAGATTATTAGTGCCGTCAGTTGTCTTTGGAAAACTGAAATGACAAGTGGCTGTGGTTTCATAAAGAAAATGAAGGCTTTAGATGTGAAACCCTCGTTTTCTCTTCTCCTCATCTTAGGTGAAAGATTTTATTTTTAAAAAAATGGTACATAGTGGTATCCCAGCAGGTGTAGTGTGAGAACTGGTGTGTGCTAGGCTATGATTCCAGTGTGGATGGGCAGGTCTTCAAGATGGAAAACCAAGTCTCACTGAGTTGCTGGAACCGCACTCACCTTTCTGCACATCTCCCACCATGGGCTTCCACTTTTCTCCCAGGCTTGAGTTTTATTCACATTCATATTTTTATACACACAGAAAAACACACACATACACACACACACACACACGTCTCACTCTGTCAGTGCAGTAGCTGAATCATGGGTCACTGCAGCCTCAAACTCTTAGGCTTGAGAAATCCTTTCATATCAGCCTGTCAATTAGCTAGGACTATAGGCATGCAACCCTACACCCAGCCAATTTTTGAATTTTTTTCTAAAGACTGAGCCTCCTTATGTTGCCCAGACTTTTCTTGAACTCCTGGGATCAAACGATCATCCCACCTTGGCCTCCCAAAGTGTTTAGAATACAGTTGCAAGTTACCAAACTCAGCCAAAAATAGTTTTTAAAGAACTTTTACAATGAAATTATGAGTTATGATTGCATCACTGCCCTCCAGCCTGGTCACCAGAGCAAGACCTTGTATCCAAAAACAAAGCAAAAGAAAACAAGAACAAAAAAACCTTATAACCAAATTAAACTTTGAAGATTGTGTCATCAGTGTCCCGCCTTGCCTTCCAAGCTGTCACTGTTAAATATAATGGTTATTGAGAATACGGTTAGATATTATCAAGAAATTTCTATATATTCTCCAGCTGGGAATAGGTATTCTGATGTGGCCCAAACATTTTCTCACCACTACCTTCTGGGTCTAAACTAGCAAATCAAATCAGGACACCTGCAGAGGACAGTGGCTATTTTCAAATAAAGAAATACCCCCATTAGTGACAGTAATCCAGTGATTTTCAAAAAGACAAGTCAGACTGAGATGCAGTGCAGTCAGGGCACAATTACCCTGCAATAGTCACTTCACACAGTATAGTTGTAGAACATTTCTAAGATGAGTAAATTTGGGCAACGTAATTCTTGCTTATTTATTCCCAGCCCCCACTGCCCACCTGATTTCTAATGACCACCCCATGATGTGGTCAGCCGTGGGGTGCAGCATGGTGAGAAAGGGGCTCAGGGATGGGATGAGGGTCTTTCCTGCATTATCAAAATGCTTAAAAGTTGTTTAAAAGATGTCCAAATATTCTACTTCCTACCTTTAAATAGCTGCTAAGATGCATTACACAACAGACCCAGGTACGGGAAAGAACATGTGCATTTCAACTCTCAACTCAATTCTTAATTAGCTGTGATACTCTGGGTATGTGACCCCAACTATTTGAGCCTGTTTTCCTGTCCACCCAAGACAATCCTAAGCAACAAAACAAAGCTTGATGCATCATGCTACCAAACTTCAAACTACACTACAAGGTTACAGTAACCAAAACAGCACAAAATATGCTACCAGACTTCAAAGTATACGACAAGGCTACAGTAACTGAAACAGCATGGCACTGGTACCAAAGCAGATATATAGACCAATGGAACAGAACAGAGACCTCAGAAATAACACCACACATCTACAACCATCTGATCTTCGACAGACCTAACAAAAAGAAGCAATGGGGAAAGGATTGCATATTTAACAAATGGTGCTGAAAAAACTCCTTGGCCATATGCAGAAAACAGAAACTGGATCCCTTCCTTACACCTTATACAAACATTATCTCAAGATGAATTGAAGTCTGAAATGTAAAACTCCAAACTATAAAAACCCTAGAAGAAAACCTAGGCAATACCATTCAGGGCATAGGTATGAGGAAAGACTTCACGACTGAAATATCAAAAGCAATTGCAACAAAAGCCAAAATTGACAAATGAGATCAGTTAAAGAGCTTCTGCACAGCAAAAGAAGCTATCATCAGAGTGAACAGGCAACCTACAGAATGAGAGAAAATTTTTGCAACCTCTTCATTGGACAAAGGTCTAATATCCAGAATCTACAAGGAACGTAAACAAATTCCCACAAAAAAAAAAAAAAAAAAAAAAAACATCAAAAGTCGGCAAAGGATATGAACAGACTCTTCTCAAAAGAAGACATGTGGCTGGGCATGGTGGCTCACACCTGTAATCCCAGCACTTTGGGACGTGGAGGCAGGGGGATCACGAGTTCAGGAGTTTCAGACTAGCCTGGCCAACATGGTGAAAGCTTGTCTCTACCAAAAACAAAAAATTAGCCGGGCGTGTTGGCAGGTGCCTGTAATCACAGCTTCTCGGGAGGCTGAGGGAGGAGAATCACGTGAACCTGGGAAGCAGATGTTGCAGTGAGCTAAGATCCTGCCACTGCACTCCAGCCTAGGTGACAGAGCAAGACTTTGTCTCAAAAAGAAGAAGAAGAAGAGGAAGAGGAAGAGGAAGAGGAAGAAGGAAAAAGGAAGAAGAAGAAGAAGAAGAAGAAGAAGAAGAAGAAGAAGAAGAAGAAGAAGAAGAAGAAGAAGAAGGAGGAGGAGGAGGAGGAGGAGGAGGAGGAGGAGGAGGAGGAGGAGAAGGAGGATGAGAAGGAGAAGAAACAGAAGCAGAAGAAGGAGGAGGAGGAGAAGAAGAAGAAGAAGAAGAAGAAGAAGAAGAAGAAGAAGAAGAAGAAGAAGAAGAAGAAGAAGAAGAAGGAGAAGGAGGAGGAGGAGGAGGAGGAGGGAAGGAGGAGGAGGAGGGAAGGAGGAGGAGGAGGGAAGGAGGAGGAGGAGGGGGAGGAGGAGGAGGAGGAAGAAGAAATTTATGTGGCCAAGAAACAGAAATGGAAGTCAAAACCACAATGAGGTACCATCTCAAGACAATTGGAATGGCAATTATTAAAAATTCAGAAAACGACAGATGCTGGTGAGGCTGTGGAGAAATAGAAACGCTTTTACACTGCTGGAGGGAGTGTAAATTAGTTCAACCATTGTGGAAGACAGTGTGGTGATTCCTCAAGGATCTAAAACCAGAAATACCATTTGACCCAGCAATCCCAGTACTGGGGTATACACTCAAAGGAACATAAATCATTCTACTGTAATGACACATGCACATGTATGTTTATTGCAGCACCGTTTACAGTAGCAAAGACTTGCAACCAACCCTAATGCCCATCAAAGATAGACTGGAAAAAGAAAATGTGGCACATATACACCATGGAATTCTATGCAGCCATAAAAAAGAATGAGTTCATAACCTTTGCAGGGAGGTGATTGAAGCTGGAAACCATTATCCTCAGCAAACTAACACAGGAACAGGAAACCAAACACCTTATGTTCTCACTCATATGTGGGAGTCGAACAATGAGAACACATGGACACAGGGAAGAAATCATCACACACTGGGTCCTATTAGGGGATTGGGGTCAAGGGGAGAGAGAGCATTAGGACACATACCTAATGCATGCAGGGCTTAAAACCTAGACCGCAGGTTGATAGGTGCAACAAACCACCATGGCACATGTAAAGCTATGTAACAAACCTGCACGTTCTGCACAGGTATCCCAGAACTTAAAGTAAAACAAAGAAACAAAAATACACTAAAGCTGAGGGTGAGTGGGGGTAGGGGCAGGCGTGGGGCGGGGGTGGGTGGGTCCTGATGTTTTATTCAATCAGTGGCGCTGGTGTGGGAACCGCCCAATCAGGTGCGCAGTTGGAGAAGAGAGGAGAAGAGGGCGTGACTTCCGGAGTTTGGTGGGACCTTTGTCTCTCTCTGGTGCTGGCGCAGGAGCTTGGATTCCGTCTCCACTCTTGAGCCTCCTGCACTTTGGGAGCCCTGGGAAACTCCATCACAGTCCCTGTATGCCCTGTGTGCTGTAGATCCTTGGGGACTCACAGTTAAGTTGCCCGGACGTCCTGGAAGCTGGAAAATGGTGAGTATGCAGAGTTAGGCATCCCGAGAGGCGAAAGTGATCTGTGAAACCGGCGTTACCGGCCTCCCCACAGTCAGATCCGGGTCTCCGGCAGCTTAGCCCTCAGTCCCCTGTGGCTGCAAGATGGCCACTGGGCCAGCAGCGGGTACCCCCGTGACCCGCCCCTCTCGTCCGGTCCAGTCGTTCTGCAGTGCCCTGCTCTGTGCCCACAGCCCTGAGAATTTCCCTGATTGTTCAGGGATGCCAGGTGGGTCATCAGGGCAGAACCGCCACTGGGTGTGTGCGTGGCAGGAGCTGTGGCCCGTGAGATCCCCAGTCTCTCTTGTTAAAACTTAATGGGAGTCCGTGTTAAAACGTTAACCAGTTTATTTGAGCAAACAGCGACTGGTGAAATGGAAAGCACCCAGCCATGATTTGTGGTCCACCCAAGGGGCATGAAGGAAAGGCTTTTATAAGGTGCATAAGAAAGCAATCCAAGTTCAAGAACTGGTTACAGTTATGTAGTCGCCCTATTTGAATTATCCAAATGGAAATTTCCTGGTTATGTAATCAGAGGTTAATTGCAGGTGTATAATTGGTTAAGACTGCATTTTTTTTCAGCCTGAATAGTGATTTTTAAGAAAGGTATTGGAGTTAGGTTTTAGAATTTTTTTTTTTAACCTATGAACACAGGGCACTAGAGCCACTTTAGTCTAATTTTCTGGTCTTTAATTATTTTAACACTCCAGAGGAGTAATGGCTTTCCCCTGTGTTTTTCTAATGTATGGTAAGCAGGACCTCTAATCCACCACCGTTTCCCAGCCTAACTCAGGCTTGCTGTGTAAGTTCCCACTTTCTTTGCCACATTCTCAAATGCAACAAATGAGGCCAACTTCCCCTTGCCAATTAACAATGCTATCAACTATTTGTCCTTTATTGTACATTTCTTTAAAGTTTTCTATTATTGGATTTCTTTCTATTTCTCCCTATAGTTCTGTCAATATTTGCTTTTTATATTTAGAAGCCACACTTTTGGATGCGTAAATATATATAGCTATATTCTCTTGACAAATTAACCTCTGTTATTATTATATGGTAAACTCATTTCATACTTGTGACAGATGTTGTTAGAAAGTCTATTTTGTCGGAGGGGCGGAGCAAGACGGCCGAATAGGAACAGCTCCAGTCTCCAACTCCCAGCGCGAGCAACACAGAAGACCAGTGATTTCTGCATTTTCAACTGAGGTACTGGGTTCATCTCACTGGGGAGTGCCGGATGATCGGTGCTGGTCAGCTGCTGCAGCCCGACCAGTGAGAGCTGAAGCAGGGTGAGGCATTGCCTCACCTGGGAAGTGCAAGGGGGAAGGGAATCCCTTTTCCTAGCCAGGGGAACTGAGACACACAACACCTGGAAAATCGGGTAACTCCCACCCCAATACTGCGCTTTAAGCAAACAGGCACACCGGGAGATCATATCCCACACCTGGCCGGGAGGGTCCCACACCCACGGAGCCTCCCTCATTGCTAGCACAGTAGTCTGCAATCTCGCAGCAAGGCAGCAGCGAGGCTGGGGAGGGGTGCCCGCCATTGCTGAGACTTAAGTAGGAAAACAAAGCTGCTGGGAAGCTTGAACTGGGTGGAGCTCACAGCAGCTCAAGGAAACCTGCCTGTCTCTGTAGACTCCACCTCTGGGGACAGGGCACAGTAAACAATAACAAATGCAACAGAAACCTCTGCAGCCACAAGCGACTCTCTGACAGCTTTGAAGAGTGCAGTGGATCTCCCAACACGGAGGTTGAGATCTGAGAAGGGACAGACTCCCTGCTCAAGTGGGCCCCTGACCCCTGAGTAGCCTAACTGGGAGACATCCCCCACTAGGGGCAGTCTGACACCCCACACCTCACAGGGTGGAGTACACCCCTGAATGGGAGCTTCCAAAGCAAGAATCAGACAGGTACACTCGCTGTTCAGAAATATTCTATCTTCTGCAGCCTCTGCTGCTGATACCCAGGCAAACAGGATCTGGAGTGGACCTCAAGCAATCTCCAACAGACCTACAGCTGAGGGTCCTGACTGTTAGAAGGAAAACTATCAAACAGGAAGGACACCTACAGCAAAACCCCATCAGTACATCACCATCATCAAAGACCAGAGGCAGATAAAACCACAAAGATGGGGAAAAAGCAGGGCAGAAAAGCTGGAAATTCAAAAAATAAGAGCACATCTCCCCCGGCAAAGGAGTGCAGCTCATCGCCAGCAACGGATCAAAGCTTGACGGAGAATGACTTTGACGAGATGAGAGAAGAAGGCTTCAGTCCATCAAATTTCTCAGAGCTAAAGGAGGAATTACGTACCCAGCGCAAAGAAACTAAAAATCTTAAAAAAAAGTGGAAGAATTGATGGCTAGAGTAATTAATGCAGAGAAGGTCATAAACGAAATGAAAGAGATGAAAACCATGACACGAGAAATACGTGACAAATGCACAAGCTTCAGTAACCGACTCGATCAACTGGAAGAAAGAGTGTCACTGATTGAGGATCAAATGAATGAAATGAAGCGAGAAGAGAAACCAAAAGAAAAAAGAAGAAAAAGAAATGAACAAAGCCTGCAAGAAGTATGGGATTATGTAAAAAGACCAAATCTACGTTTGATTGGGGTGCCTGAAAGTGAGGGGGAAAATGGAACCAAGTTGGAAAACACTCTTCAGGATATCATCCAGGAGAACTTCCCCAACCTAGTAGGGCAGGCCAACATTCAAATCCAGGAAATACAGAGAACGCCACAAAGATACTTCTCGAGAAGAGCAACTCCAAGACACATAATTGCCAGATTCACCAAAGTTGAAATGAAGGAAAAAATCTTAAGGGCAGCCACAGAGAAACGTCGGGTTACCCACAAAGGGAAGCCCATCAGACTAACAGCAGATCTCTCGGCAGAAACTCTACAAGCCAGAAGAGAGTGGGGGCCAATATTCAACATTCTTAAAGATAAGAATTTTAAACCCAGAATTTCATATCCAGCCAAACTAAGTTTCATAAGTGAAGGAGAAATAAAATCCTTGACAGATAAGCAAATGCTTAGAGATTTTGTCACCACTAGGCCTGCCTTACAAGAGACCCTGAAGGAAGCACTCAACATGGAAAGGAACAACCGGTACCAGCCATTGCAAAAACATGCCAAAATGTAAAGTCCATTGAGACTAGGAAGAAACTGCATCAACTAATGAGCAAAATAACCAGTTAATATTATAATGGCAGGATCAAGTTCACACATAACAATCTTAACCTTAAATGTAAATGGACTAAATGCTCCAATTAAAAGACACAGACTGGCAAACTGGATAAAGAGTCAAGACCCATCAGTCTGCTGTATTCAGGAGACCCATCTCACATGCAGAGACATACATAGGCTCAAAATAAAGGGATGGAGGAAGATTTACCAAGCAAATGGAGAACAAAAAAAAGCAGGGGTTGCAATACTAGTCTCTGATAAAACAGACTTTAAACCATCAAAGATCAAAAGAGACAAAGAAGGCCATTACATAATGGTAAAAGGATGAATTCAACAGGAAGAGCTAACTATCCTAAATATATATGCACCCAATACAGGAGCACCCAGATTCATAAAACAAGTCCTTAGAGACTTACAAAGAGACTTAGACTCCCATACAATAATAATGGGAGACTTCAACACTCCACTGTCAACATTAGACAGATCAACGAGACAGAAAGTTAACAAGGATATCCAGGAATTGAACTCATCTCTGCAGCAAGCAGACCTAATAGACATCTATAGAACTCTCCACCCCAAATCAACAGAATATACATTCTTCTCAGCACCACATCGTACTTACTCCAAAATTGACCACATAATTGGAAGTAAAGCACTCCTCAGCAAATGTACAAGAACAGAAATTATAACAAACTGTCTCTCAGACCACAGTGCAATCAAACTAGAACTCAGGATTAAGAAACTCAATCAAAACCGCTCAACTACATGGAAACTGAACAACCTGCTCCTGAATGACTACTGGGTACATAACGAAATGAAGGCAGAAATAAAGATGTTCTTTGAAACCAATGAGAACAAAGATACAACATACCAGAATCTCTGGGACACATTTAAAGCAGTGTGTAGAGGGAAATTTATAGCACTAAATGCCCACAAGAGAAAGCAGGAAAGATCTAAAATTGACACTCTAACATCGCAATTAAAAGAACTAGAGAAGCAAGAGCAAACACATTCGAAAGCTAGCAGAAGGCAAGAAATAACTAAGATCAGAGCAGAACTGAAGGAGATAGAGACACAAAAAAACCTCCAAAAAATCAATGAATCCAGGAGTTGGTTTTTTGAAAAGATCAACAAAATTGACAGACCACTAGCAAGACTAATAAAGAAGAAAAGAGAGAAGAATCAAATCGACGCAATTAAAAATGATAAAGGGGATATCACCACCGACCCCACAGAAATACAAACTACCATCAGAGAATACTATAAACACCTCTACACAAATAAACTGGAAAATCTAGAAGAAATGGATAATTTCCTGGACACTTACACTCTTCCAAGACTAAACCAGGAAGAAGTTGAATCCTGAATAGACAATAGCAGGCTCTGAAATTGAGGCAATAATTAATAGCCTGCCAACCAAAAAAAGTCCAGGACCAGATGGATTCACAGCTGAATTCTACGAGAGGTACAAGGAGGAGTTGGTACCATTCCTTCTGAAACTATTCCAATCAATAGAAAAAGAGGGAATCCTCCCTAACTCATTTTATGAGGGCAACATCATCCTGATACCAAAGCCTGGCAGAGACACAACAAAAAAAGAGAATTTTAGACCAATATCCCTGATGAACATCGATGCAAAAATCCTCAATAAAATACTGGCAAACCGGATTCAGCAACACATCAAAAAGCATATCCACCATGATCAAGTGGGCTTCATCCCTGGGATGCAAGGCTGGTTCAACATTCGCAAATCAATAAACATAATCCAGCATATAAACAGAACCAAAGACAAGAACCACATGATTATCTCAATAGATGCAGAAAAGGCTTTTGACAAAATTCAACAGCCCTTCATGCTAAAAACGCTCAATAAATTTGGTATTGATGGAACGTACCTCAAAATCATAAGAGCTATTTATGACAAACCCACAGCCAATATCATACTGAATGGGCAAAAACTGGAAAAATTCCCTTTGAAAACTGGCACAAGACAGGGATGCCCTCTCTCACCACTCCTATTCAACATAGTGTTGGAAGTTCTGGCTAGGGCAATTAGGCAAGAGAAAGAAATCAAGGGTATTCAGTTAGGAAAAGAAGAAGTCAAATTGTCCCTGTTTGCAGATGACATGATTGTATATTTAGAAAACCCCATTGTCTCAGCCCAAAATCTCCTTAAGCTGATAAGCAACTTCAGCAAAGTCTCAGGATACAAAATTAATGTGCAAAAATCATAAGCATTCTTATACACCAGTAACAGACAAACAGAGAGCCAAATCAGGAATGAACTTCCATTCACAATTGCTTCAAAGAGAATCAAATACCTAGGAATCCAACTTACAAGGGATGTAAAGGACCTCTTCAAGGAGAACTACAAACCACTGCTCAGTGAAATAAAAGAGGACACAAACAAATGGAAGAACATACCATGCTCATAGATAGGAAGAATCAATATCGTGCAAATGGCCATACTGCCCAAGGTAATTTATAGATTCAATGCCATCCCCATCAAGCTACCAATGAGTTTCTTCACAGAATTGGAAAAAACTGCTTTAAAGTTCATATGGAACCAAAAAAGAGCCCGCATCTCCAAGACGATCCTAAGTCAAAAGAACAAAGCTGGAGGCATCAAGCTACCTGACTTCAAACTATACTACAAGGCTACAGTAACCAAAACAGCATGGTACTGGTACCAAAACAGAGATATAGACCAATGGAACAGAACAGAGTCCTCAGGAATAATACCACACATCTACAGCCATCTGATCTTTGACAAACCTGAGAGAAACAAGAAATGGGAAAGGATTCCCTATTTAATAAATGGTGCTGGGAAAACTCGCTAGCCATAAGTAGAAAGCTGAAACTGGATCCTTTCCTTACTCCTTATACGAAAATTAATTCAAGATGGATTAGAGACTTAAATGTTAGACCCAATACCATAAAAATCCTAGAGGAAAACTTAGGTAGTACCATTCAGGACATAGGCATGAGCAAAGACTTCATATCTAAAACGCCAAAAGCAACAGCAGCAAAAGCCAAAATGGACAAATGGGATCTAATTAAGCTAAAGAGCTTCTGCACAGCAAAAGAAACTACCATCAGAGTGAACAGGCAACCTACAGAATGGGAGAAAATTTTTGCAATCTACTCATCTGACAAAGGGCTAATATCCAGAACCTACAAAGAACTCAAACAAATTTACAAGAAAAAAACAAACAACCCCATCAAAAAGTGGGCAAAGGATATGAACAGACATTTCTCAAAAGAAGACATTCATACAGCCAACAGACACATGAAAAAATGCTCATCACTGGCCATCAGAGAAATGCAAATCAAAACCACAGTGAGATACCATCTCACACCAGTTAGAATGGCGATCATTAAAGTCAGGAAACAACAGGTGCTGGAGAGGATGTGGAGAAATAGGAACACTTTTACACTGTTGGTGGGATTGTAAACTAGTTCAACCATTATGGAAAACAGTATGGCGATTCCTCAAGGATCTAGAACTAAATGTACCATATGACCCAGCCATCCCATTACTGGGTATATACCCAAAGGATTATAAATCATGCTGCTATAAAGACACATGCACACGTATGTTTATTGCAGCACTATTCACAATAGCAAAGACTTGGAATCAACCCAAATGTCCATCAGTGACAGACTGGATTAAGAAAATGTGGCACATATACACCATGGAATACTATGCAGCCATAAAAAAGGATGAGTTTGTGTCCTTTGTAGGGACATGGATGCAGCTGGAAACCATCATTCTTAGCAAACTATCCCAAGAACAGAAAACCAAACACCGCATGTTCTCACTCATAGGTGGGAACTGAACAATGAGATCACTTGGACTCAGGAAGGGGAACATCACACACCGGGGCCTATCATGGGGAGGGCGGACGGGGGAGGGATTGCATTGGGAGTTATAACTGATGTAAATGACGAGTTGATGGCTGCAGCACACCAACATGGCACAAGTATACATATGTAACAAACCTGCACGTTATGCACATGTACCCTACAACTTAAAGTATAATAATAATAAATAAATTAAAAAATCAAAAAAAATGAAAAAAAAAAAGAAAGTCTATTTTGTCTAATTTAAGCTTAACTACCAATGCACTCCTTTGGTTATTATTTGCATGGAATATCATTTTCTATCCTTCCACTTTTAGCCAATGCTCTTAATTCAGAAGTGAATCTCCTGTAAGCAGCATATTATAGGGTTTAAAAGATTCATTCATCCACTCTGTCTGTTTTAGTCTCTTTTCTGCTGCAATAGCAGAATATCACAGACTGGTAATTAATAAGTAATATAAATGTATTTGACTCATGATTCTGGAGGCTGGGAAGGCAAAAGAACATGACACTGGTATGTATCGAAAGTCTTGTTGCTGGTTAATAACTTGGCCAAAGATGTCAAGGAGAGAGAGGTTTTTTTTGTTTTGTTTTTTGTTTTGTTTTTTTTAATGACAGACCCATTCTCATTATAATTAGCCCATTCCCACTATAAGACTATTAATCCATTCATGAAGGCAGAGTACTTATACTTTAATTAATTCTTAAAGGTTCCATCTCTTAATTCTATCACATTGGCTATTAAATTTTCTCCTAAATTTTGGAGATGATATTCAGTCTATAACAGTATCTATTTAGTAGATAACTTAATCTTTTTATGTGTAAAGTAGTGATAGGTAAGCAGTTACTATTGTAAATTTGTAGTTTTCTGTCCATTTTACATTTGCTTCTTTTTTTCTTGTTCTGTCTTTCCTGTGGTATTGTTAATTTTTGTTGAGACAAAGTTATGCTTTCCTGCTCAGACTGAAGTGCAGTAGCATATCACAGCTCACTGTAGCCTCAACCTCCTGTGCTGGAGCAATCCTCCCACCTTAGCCACCCAAGTGGCTTGGACTACCAATGGGTACCACAACACCCAGCTAATTTTTTCTGTAGAAATAAGGTTTCCTCATTTTGCTCAGGTTGGTCTCAAACTCTGGAGCTTATGATTCTTCCACCTTGGCCTCCCAAAGTGTTGGAATTATAAGCAGGAGCTGCTATATCAAATTTTTAATTTTTGTAATATATGTTTTAATTCCTTTCTCTTTTTCTTCACTACATTTTTTTCCTAGTGGTTATCATGAGACTTACGTAAAACATCTTGTATTTTAACAGTCTATTTTAAGATGATAACAATTTAGAGTATTCTGAATTTCAGGATGTATTTACCATTTTTAGTGACATGTATACTTTATTATTTTTCATATTGTTAGTTAGCATTTCATCATATCAATGTGAAGATTTCTTGCAGACCATGGCTGGAGAAGTAAAGAAGGTGTGTTTTGCCTGATTCAGGGGCTACAGACAGTACCAGGTTTGGCAAGCCTGTCACTCAAATCTCAGGTGAGTATGAATTCTCTTGGGTTTTTGGCAGATTGTTGCAGTGTCAGGACCAAGGCCAAATGAGTTATAGCCAAGTCTAAAGTAAGATGTGGCAGTATTCTGTTTTGAAGGTGGGACCATGATAGGCAAGTCTGCCACTTGGTCAAGTGCTTACCCTCTGAAGATGTCTTCCTTGGTCTTTGCCTCCAGGTGTGTGTCACAAAATCTGAACTGGATCCCAACGCTTTCATAAATGCACTTATGTTTGCTGTGGCTGATGCATTATGTTGTGGGTGATGTGCATGCAGGACCTCCCATTCTGTCCTCTTGCTTATGTTACTCTAATTTGTGTTTCACTTTCTGAAATGAATGTCAAGCTTGTGATTTTTAGATTCAAAAGTTCTAAAATAAATTGCTCAAATTTACACATTATGTAAGATGTAAATGAAATTTCTTTCAGGTGCTACATATTTATTAAAATTATTGGTTGTAATTTTAAGCCCACTGTAGGCAGAAAGGAATCATTTAAAGTTATATTCTTTTTTTAGTCTGTATCTAAATGATGGTATATTTTAATTGCAAATATTTACTTTATACTTCAGTAATGCTCATCATATTTTGCAAAATTTATGTTGTTCTTTTAATTGAAAATACAAAACATTTTTAGCTCCTGAAAGCTATATTATTGTCATATAGTTTTATTACATTTTGTGGTAAGAATAGCAGCAACATATTGAGAACATAATAAAACTCGCTTGTCTTTTTAGTGCTTATTTATTAAAATCTTCTCATTAGAGCCTATTGTTAATGATTGTAATATATTTTCTGTCTAATTTTACTGCCATTTATTAAACACCAATGACTTGAAATGTCTGCTTTTCATGAGTGCATACAGTTGAAAGCTGTAGATATCAAAAGAATTATTTTTCATTGTATATCTATGTTGTATTCAGGATTTTATGAATTAAAGTCTCTCGTTATTTTCAATTCTGTGTCATTTTGTTTCTTTTCTGGGGGGGAGGGTGTTTTCTCAGATCAGTTAATTGTATTTTTGCTTTTAAAGCTTGATATTATGAGTTGAATGATAATTTTTAACTCGGTACACTTTACAACAATATGATGTTTAATTTACATGTGAATTAGCCATGTCTGTTGCTTATAGACATATCTGTGTGTTTTTCACCTATGTAAGTATGATATCTTTTTTTCCTTTTTTTTTTTTTCAGTTTTGGGTAGTCTTTTTTGTAGTTGAAAGATAATTTTAAAACAGAGTCAAAAGAAAAGAAATCATTTATCTGTTATCTTGCAGGGTGGGGAGACAGCCTGAGCCCTGGGGAGATGCAGAAAGGATCCATCCCAGGCAATTGGCTGGAGGTAAGTAAGCATAGCCTTTGGGCCACAAGACCTGATGACTTGGATACTGGTCTGGATATAAGTCTTCATCTGCCCTGAAATGTCAGCTTTTCTCTGCAATAACTGGCTGGAGAAATATTTCAGAAAGATGTGTGCCTGGAACACCCAAAGGCATACCCTTCCTTTCTCCTTGGCATAGGCCTTGCAATACCAAGGAAAGACCAGGTTTGCAATGGAGCCTTCAGTAGTCTTCATCCCTACGAAGCTCAGTGGTCATAGGGTGACAGGAGAGGAGATAAGCTAACTTGGGAAGAGTCTTTGTCTTTCAGTTTCTCCCCCACTGAAACACTATATACTGGGGCTACAGTTCATGGCAAAACACACATGCTGTCTTTCTCTCACATACACATCTTGAGAACCCAACAACTTGATGGCAGGTAGCTCTGGGCATCCTTGGTCTGGCATTCACCCACTCAGCATCTAAGCTGTCCTAAAGCTCTTTTCAATCACTTCTCACTTTTTCCAGGCTCACGTGGCTAGGTACTCCAGCTTCCACCCTGTCAGGCTGATCATAAAGGCACAGTGTGGGAAAGTCTCCTATTATGATGGCCATTGCTGGGAAGCAGGGAAGGCTAAGGGCCCACTGCCGTACAAGGCTAATGTAGACACCCTCTGCTCCACTCATCTCCTTGAAGATTGCTATCAGGTTCAGCAGCTGCTATCTGTCATGTTATCAAACCGGGACTGCACAGGCACTGCGTTCTCTAGGTGGAAGTTGTAAGAAGCAGGTGAGTTGTCCAGGATGAGAGTTTTCCTCAGGTCCCTCCCCAGATGGCTGAGGTCCTTGGCATAGCAGCCCTGGTGGAACAAACACAACTCATGGGATAAGCAGCCCCAGAACAACCCACACCGGTCCAGCAGACCCATCACAGGATCTGCATACTTGTCCAAACTGGAATGAAGAGAACACATTTAAAGAGTTCCTCCATTCATCTCAGGAATTCATCCACATAAGGCCTCTTGAGCACATGGATCTGGTGAGTCGTCCCCTCAGTCTCTACAGGCACTAGGGAGTCAGCATTGCTGATTGGCTTAAAGGAGCTATGCACAACGATTTCATCCAGGTCAGTGACCATACAGATCTTTCTTTGATCTTTCTCTGTCACCTCTGGGAGCAGGCAGGTTGCTAGGATCTGATAAAACTGATACTGGAGACCCTGGAGATGATCTGACTTTGCCATGGTGTTGGTTTCCTCCTTATGTGTGTAGAGCTCAGTGGGGGAACTTGACTGGCCAACATGCTGGGTGTAAGAACAGCAGAAAGGGGCCTTGTAGGATGTGACAAACATGAGGGCTCTTAAGAGAGGACTTTGGAAACCAGGCCTTGCTTGGTAAGGACCAGGGCATCTTCCCTACATGCCTAGGTGATGATGGAACCATGTTCCATCTAACAACCCTGAGGGCTGGGCTGGCTGGGTGGGAAGACTGGTGGGCACACTGGCTGGGCTGGGCTGGGGGGCATGGGCTGGGGCCTACTCCAGTTCCCGAGAATCTGACTTCCACAGCTCTTCATAGTCCCTCTCTCATTTCCATCACTGGCCAGGAAAGGAAGTGGCCTGTAGGGAGGGTGGATGGCCTTGGCAGCAGCTCCCCATGGTGCCCCCAACCCGGATTCCTCCAGTGGCAGCTTCAGGTTCCTCAGTTTGGGTCTAACATAGAGAATCCACCAGATAGGCATTTGTTTTTTCAACATTTTTTTGAAGTTTTGGGAGTCTATGTGCAGGTTATGCAGGATTCTTACATAGATAAACATTTGCCATTGTGGTTTACTGCACAGATCATCTCATCACCTAGGTACTAAGCCCAGCATCCACAGCTATTCTTCCTGATGCTCACCCTCCCCTCCCCCTTGTCATGAAACAGGTGCCCAGTGTGTGTTGTTCTTCCTGATGTTTCCATGGGTTCTCATTGATCTGCTTCCACTAATAAGTGAGAATAATAATAAGCAGTGTTTGGTTTTCTATTCCTGCATTACTTTGCTGAGAGTAATGGCTTCAAATTCCAACTATTTCCCTGTAAGGAACATCATCTCATTACATGTTATGGGTTCAAAGTGCTCCATGCTGAATATGTACCACATTTTCTTTTTCCAGTCTATCATTGATGGGCATGTAGATTGATTGCCTGACATTGTTATTGTAAATAGTGCTGCAGCAATGAAGTGTGTACATGTATTTTAAAAATAGAATGATTTATATTCATTTGGATGTATAACTAGTAATAGTATTGCTGGGTCAAATGGTATTTTTGCTTCTAGGTCTTTGAGGAATCTCCACACTCTCTTCCACAATGCTTGAAACAATATACACTCCCACCAACAGTGCAAAAGTGTTCCCTTTTCTCCACAACCTCACCAGCATCTGCTATTTTTGACTTTTTATTAATAGCCATTGTAATTGGTGTGAGATGGTATCTCATTGTGGTTTTGATAATTATCAATGATGTTGAGCTTTTCATGTTTGTTGGGCACATGAATGTCTTCTTTTGAGATATGTCTGTTCATGTCCTTTGACCACTTTTTAATGGGGTTGTTTGTTTTTCTCTTGTAAATTTTGTTTAAGTCTTTCATAGATTCTGAATATTAGAAATTTGTCAGATGGATAGGTTGCAAAATTTTACTCCTATTCTCTAGGTTGTTAGCTTGATGATAGTTTCTTTGGCTCTTCAGAAGCTCTCTAGTTTAATTAGACCCAATTTGTCAATTTTTGCTTTTGTTGCTATTGCTTTGGCCTTTTTGTCATAAAATCTTTGCCCATGCCTACATCCTGAATGGTATTGTCTAGATTTTTTCTTCTGTATTGTTATAGTTTTGGGTTTTACATTTAAGTCTTTAATCCATCTTGAATTAATTTTTGTATATAGTGTTAGGAAGGGTTCCAATTTTAATTCTCTGCATATGGCTAGACGGTTCTCCTAGCACCATTTATTGAATAGGGAGCCCTTTCCCTAATTCCTTGTTTTTGTTGAGTTTGTCAAAGATTAGATTGCTGTAGGTTTGTGGCTTTATTTCTAGGCTATTTTGTTTCATTTGTCTATGTGTCTGTTTCTATACCAGTACCATGCTGTTTTGGTTACTGTACCCTTCTAGTATAGTTTGAAGTTAGGTAGAGTGATGTTTCCAGCTTTTTTTTTTTTTTTTTTTTTTTTTTTTTTTTTTTTTTTTTTTTTTTTGCTTAGGGTTGGCTTGGCTATTTGGGCTCTTTTTGGGTTCCATATGATCTTTAAAAGTTTTTTTTTTTTTCTAATTCTGTGACTTGTTAATAGTAGTTTAATGGAAATAGTTTAAAGGAAATGAATCTATAAATTACTTTGGACAATATAGTCATTTTCATGATACTGATTCTTCCTGTCCATGAGCATGGAATGTTTCTCCATTGGTTTTGTGTCCACTCAGATTTCTCTGAGCAGTTGTTTGTAGTTCTCCTTGAAGAAGTCCTTCACTTTCCTTCTTAGCTGTATTCCTAGGTGTTTTGTTCTCTTTGTAGCAATTAAGAATGAAAGTTCATTCATGATATGGCTCCCTGCTTGCCTGTTGTTTGTGTATAGGAATGCTAGCTACTTTTACACATTGATTTTATATCCTGAGATTTTGCTGATGTTGCTTAACAGCTTAATAAGCTTTTGGGCTGAGACAATGAGGTTTTCTAGATATAGGATCAGGTCATCTGCAAACAAAGATAACTTGACTTCTTCTCTTTCTATTTGAATGCTCTTTATTTCTTCCTCTTGCATGATTTTCCTGGCCAAGGCTTCCAATGCTATGTTGAATAGTAGTGGTGAGAGAGGGCATCCTTTTCTTGTGCCAGTTTTCAGAGAAAATGCTTCCAGCTTCTGCACATTCAGTATGATATTGGCTGTGGGTTTGTTGTATATGGCTCTTATTATTTTGAGGTATGTTTCTTCAGTACCTAGTTTATTGAGAATTTTAAATGTGAGAGAATGTTGAATTTTATTGAATGCTTTTTCTGCATCTATTGAGATAATCATGTGGTTTTTGTATTTAGTTCTCTTTATGTGATGAGTCACATTAATTGATTTGCATATGTTGAACCAACCTTGTATCCTAGGGATAAAGTCAACTTGATTGTGGTGGATGCGCTTTTTAATGTGCTGCTGGATTTGGTTTGCTAGTATTTTATTGAGGATTTTTGCATCAGTGTTCATCAAGGATATTGTCATGATGTTTTGTTGTTGTTGTTTTTTCTGTGCTGGCTTTTGGTATCACGATGATCCTGGCCTGATATAGTGAGTTAGAGAGAATTTCTTTGTCTTCAATTTTTTTGGATAGTTTTAGGAGAAAGGATACCATCTCCTCTTTGTACTTCTGGTCAAACTCAGCTGCAAATCCATCTGGTCCTGGGCTTTTTTTGTTCGTAGGCTATTTATTACTGCCTCAGTTTCAGAACACATTATTGATCTATTCAGTGATTCAGTTTCTTTCTGGTTCAGTTT